TACTTGTATCTTACTCACATGCAGATTAGCCAATTCTTCATGTAAAGTTCACTCATTTATACTGAATATACTAATCTTTAATATATGTGTATTTTTATTGAATATGCTTATATGACATTATCTGGAGAAGCAAAGATGTTGGTTTTGACACTTACTTCTTTTCAGTCTCCCCCCAATTTCATGTTATACTCAGGTAAAGTGTGGTGTTTAACATTCTGTTTTTTTTCCTTTTCAGCGTTGTGCATAGTGGCCACCTAGGGTTAAATTGGTATTTTTAAAGTGAAGAGGCTCTGAAGTCATCCCAATGGGCTGTGTGTAAGGGAGTAGAAGCGACTATAACAGGAGAAAAATATTTTATTTTGAAAATTTCTGAAACTTGGACAATTTTAGGGTGTAAATGAATCAACCTTCTACTGATTAAAAGTAATACACATTATAGAGATTATAGTTATTCATCATCTGTGCTGACATCTCTCATCTGAATATAGTGCAATGTAAACTTACTAAGTTCACTCTCCTGTGTTAGTCGCAGAAAGGCGAGAGAAGTCAGTTAACCAAAGGGCCATCATTTTAACTAGTGGTATGAAAGATTTTGCATTCTACAGTATAAAGGTTTGTACAGGTTTCAAAGATGTTAGCTAAGAATGTTTGCTTATTGAGACATTTGTGTTCCCCGATGTTCCACTAAAGACACACCTGGTGGCACTGTTTTTTTTTATTCAATTTACTTTTTCGTTTTGTTGAATAGCATTTGCTTTCAAATCAGCATGTTATTTCAGATAAATGACACCTAATTTAGCTTTTTTTTTTTTCATTTTGCAGAAGTCTTAAAACAAGCACCAAAACAGGAGGTTAAAGCAACTGGCTGTTTTTGAATAAAGTCTCTGAAATATGTTATGATCACAAGTCTATTCATTTTGTGAAGATACTACTGAGAGCAAGTGTTAAGTTCCTCCCTCTTTGACTGGAGTAATTTCTTTTTCAAGCCTGTCATAAATGATGGCGGACATGGTTGAGTTTTGCTGCCCATCTTCCCTGTCTTCATGCTCCTTCTTTACATTATCTCACTGTCCTGGCTTGATCTTGTCTGGAGAAGGGAATGTTTGACTTGCATTTCTAGTTCACGCCCTGAATATTTATTTAAGCCTGCTGTTTGAAGTTGGTTGTGCATCTGAATCCTGTAAAGTGATTTTTTAACCAAGAGGGAAACCATAGAGGACTCTTACTGGGATTCTTTTCCGTGGACTGTCTTTTGAATGACAGATCAAAAGCAGACGCTTGAGGAAACCGAGAGGTTTACAAATACTTAAATATATGGATTATTGATATTCAGGAAGATATTTTACATCAGACAGTTTTAAGACTTTAGTTTAACTATGTAGCCCATTTGTAAAAGCTGCTGTGTTACCATGCTGTGATTGTAATTTTTGCATGAAAGCCTGAGTATTTCTCTAGGTTGTGTAGGCAGAGTCTTGATTTTGTACTGCAGAGCTTGGGTAACCCATAAAATCAATGCCCTGGATGATTTTGTGAGGACCATCCTGCCAGCTGTGTGAAACATCTCATTATGTTTTTGGTCTCAGCGGTATTCCGCGGCTCATGTTGCGCCATGTAGTCATGAGGGCTTTACACATAGAAGGAGATCAGGTGCAGGCGTAGTTCAAAGCCAGTGGAAAGGAAACAAGCACAAACAACATGCCTTATCCTGCCTTGAAGTGTCCCTTTTCCCCATGGATCGCGCTGTGCCATCACTCTGTGCTCTGCTCCTCACTAAACCAAACCAAAAACCCCGAACAGTGCAGATCGCCAGTACTTCTTAGAACCCAGCAGGAGTGTGTTGTCCTGCTGGGATAAATGGCCTAGAAGCCCAGTAAGTAAGGGTTCCTCAAAGACTGTTTTGTCTAACTGCTAGATTATATCCTGCATCTTAAAAACAAAACAACAGATTAAAAAAACTGTCTAAAAGACCAGAAGATTTAGGGTAGAATTAGGTCACAACATCAAGGTGCCATGGGTTGATTGGTAACATGAAAATGTCATGAAAGCGTAGACAGCAGTTATCACTGATATACCATATCCAATGCAAACAGCTCTTCTGGATGATAAATGAAGGAATACATAAAAAAAAGTGCTCACATATGGAGCCCATATGATGCTCATTTCTTGAAATTGTAGGAGCCCGAGTTGTAAAATGAGGTTAGATCTCATTTCAGATGCCATGGCAACACTGTGCTCGACAATCAGTTCTGAATTGCATTTCTGATTTCCCTGTAAAAGTGGCAGTGGAGATGATGTCAGCGGTTGAATTATGGAAAAGGTGCTGGTAAAAGTGACCACGCTACTTGCTGCCTTATTTCCCATTTCCTCCTTCTGGCAAGATTTTCTCAGTTTAACTACCAGTTCATACTAAATTAGATTATTGAACAGGTTAACCTGTTCAATAATCTAATTTAGTATGTAAGTGTCTAACACTTACTTAATTTATTCTATAGAAACATCAAACATCATTCTGTAATTATCATTATTTGATAATTACAGAATCGATATAAATTAATAAATTCTCAGTAGCGGTCTTGGGTATTGCTATTTTTAATATCTGTTACATTTTTCAAGTAGTTTCATGAGCTCAAATCAGAAGTCTAACAGGCCAGATAACGGCATAAATTGAACCCCTATATCTGCGTCTGGCCTCTATGTCATGTATAACCTCCTACTCAAAGAATAAAACACTTTAAGATATTTGGGAATTAGGGGACTGTTGGAAAAAATACACTCAATACCAACCATGCACAACATGGAAAACAACATTGTGTGTTGTTCATGCTGTGTGTTGTGTTTGACCTTGGAGAAACTCTTTTTTTATTGTGATTGTACTTCTCATCCCGGCACAGGTGTTTTTTTAAAGAAATACTAAGATCTTTATACTAAATACTATACTAAATAAATACTATTTAGAATTTTTGGTATCTCAGATTATTTTCCACCTGCACTTTGTTGCCTGAGGTGTCAATTATTTTATATTATCGTATATCTATATAAATATTTTATATCTATATATTATATATTATATACTGTATATACATTGTACAATTCAATTCACTGTATACACCACAATCACATTAGATCAAGTTGGCTGTCTAAACTCACACAATGTCAGTTTAAGAGGAACTCTAAACAAGGAAACGAATAGATTTGATTACCAATTCTTAGTTGAGATGGTAAAGAAGAAAAGACTCCTTAAAACCCTTTAATGCCATGTAGAAACTGAAAGAGGAAGAGTAAACATCTGCCTCAACCCACTGACAGTTTTAAGAAAAGCATAAGGCAAGGCCAAGAATACCTGGTAAAAAAAAAAATGAAAAAAAATGAATGAGAGAAATCAATATGTAAATAAAATTAAGTCCAGAAGGATACAATCCAGTAGAACATGATTGAGTTCTGTCATCTTAGGTTGTGTTTTGCCTTTTTTGCAACTTTGAATGAACCAGACGAATATGAAAATAAATAAAAAATCAGCAAGTGATTTCTTTCTGTTTGAGGGAAAGGAAAAGAATGAAAAGACAAGCAAAGCATGGTGTGGTCTTGCGGTCTTACAAACTTGATCATAACTAAAAACCCATATCCGGCAGCGCATGTGAAAACTTAACAGGAAGGCCATGGACTCTTTGGAAGCGACCAGTGCTGAGTCCTGACCTAATTCTCGTTGAGACCCGACATGATAGAGCTGAAATCCATCTTGGCATAAAAATCACCTATACAACCTCAAAGGATCGTGAAAACATGGCATAGTCAGTGGTAGAAAGTGAAGGAAAGTGTTGCACAGTCACCTCCAAATGCATTTCTCTTTTCATCTTAGATGGAGGGTCAGTCTTTGGGTGAAAGCAGTCGTGTGTTACACAGGCCACACTCTTGCAACATGCCTAACATTTTAGAGACTTTGTTCTCCAATGGTTATTGATCTTGAAGAAGCTCTGTAGGGTAAAATGCCATCTAAATAAGATAGAACTTCACATACAACAGGACTGTGGGACTCTTTATTTCTTTTTTTTTTATTCTAATGAAAGATCCCTTCCAATATGCCTTAGTGGGCGTTACTTTGTGGCTAGAGGGAAAATAAATTTAAAGGTTGCCGTTGCTGCAAAATATTCTGCAACCAGTTAAAAAAGATGCAAATAATTTAGTCTGGAATTCTGTGGGCTTATGAATTATTTAGTTAATGTGTATAAATACATCTCTTGATAATTTGTTTATACTAATTGAATATATATGAGTAAACATTTCTTCTAATCATATATATAATATAATCATATATTCTGATTTGTTCGTTTCAATTAAGGGCTGCAAATAATTCCAAACAGACCTGCATTCCATTATTCATTTTAATAATTCCAGAATTTAACCCCAGTGTTTTGTGGTTTCTGGAGTTTAAACAGACTGTACAGACTGTTCCTATGAAACATAAGGGTTTCAGAAGAGTGCATGGGTGAGGCCTAAGAGATACAGAAAAGTACATACCCTAAGTTATTTTATGTAGTCACTGTTTCTCTAAGACAGCGGATCAATTTTCAAAGGAATAAACTAAACCAGATTTGCCTAAACATTTTGATTGTCTTAAACGTTAAAAAAATAAACAGTGCCAAAGAGCGACTTCCTCTACATTTGACTTGAAGACTTCTCCAGATCTGATTTATCAGTTTGTCTTTCTGATATGGGCCTGGTTGAAAATGAAATCCTGTTTTTTTCAACCAAGTCTGTGTCAGTGGAGTCTTTCCAGGAACATTACCGCATCAACAGTTTGAAGGTGACCAGCCCACGTTAGCCACAGTCTCCTTTCCAATATGCATTGCTACATATTCAGGTTTCCTCTAATTGTTTTTTTTTTTAAGTGAGGCCAGGTCATTCATTTTTACAAATTCAGCATGGAGTAATTCAATATCTTTTTTTATGACTAATGAAAAAAAACAATATATATATGTATATACTGTATATATCATTGTCAGTCCTCTTCTTTACCCACAGATCTGATATTTTCCTGGATCTTCAATGAGTACCCAACATTTGTGAAACAGGACACGCGCCGCTTCATCTCCCAGGAGACTGGAAATCTGTATATTGCCAAAGTGGAGCCCTCAGATGTTGGCAATTACACCTGCGTGGTGACCAACACCGTCACAAAGACCCGTGTCCAAGGCCCACCGACGCCACTGGTACTCCGTATTGACGGTGAGTTTGGCTTAAACACAACTCACTGAGCTGACTTCTAGCCAACATTAAAAAAGATATGATAACAATAGTGGTTCGACATACATCTGGGATAAAGATCAGATGTAATATCATAGGATAGTACACTGTAGCTTCATCATTTTTATTTGTACTCTAAAGCCCATTTAAAAGAATATATACATATATATTTATGGAAATATAAAATATGGAAATATACTTTATGATTGTGAGACAACACGCTGACCTTCAATGTCTCCACTTCAGTTTTCCTTATTCTGATATTTTTTCTTAATAATTTCTCTTCTAAACCTGGCATAGTGAATAGCTGATGATAGGCCTACGTGTTTTAAATCACATAGAGATGAAATTCAAAGTTCTTTTTCTAACTTTGCTAATTTCAACATGTCCAGCTCTAATGTGTAGAAAAAGAAAAGGTCACTGTCGGTGAGGTAATCTAATAGTTGGCTCATTGTCCCAGAAAAGGTACTTTGTGACATTTAGACGAGTTTATGTTCCGTTAATTATTACTTCTGTGGATGTGATATAAGAAAATTTCGGAAGGGTGAACAATGCACTTTTTTTGCCCGGTCTGGAAAAATGTTCTTGTGGCATTTTTGATGTCATGAACGATTCATACTATATAAATTCTTCCATAATGCTGTATATTAGAGCTATATCTCTGCTGCAATATTTACATTGAATTGAATTCATTTTTATTTATATTTGTATTTATATATCACCAAATCACAACAAAAGTTATCTCACAGCACTTTCCAAAAAGAGCAGATCAGACCATTGTTATTTACAGAAGCCCAACAATTCCCACCCAAATCAAGTACTAGGTGACACAGGCAAGGAAATACGTCCTTTTAAGAGGCAGAAACCTCGAGCAGAACCATGGCTCAGGGTGGGCGGCCATCTGCCTCGATCAGTTGGGGGTGAGAGACACAGAAGGACAGAGAGAGCAGAGGGAGCAGGGGGAGGCAGTAATACTGGCAGTAATACAGTAACACATAAGAGGTAAAGACAAGTAATGGTTACGTTGTTATAGACTTGATGAAAAATGGTACAGACGTTGCTAGTAATATTAATGATAATAATAACAGTCATAATAGCAATGGGACTAGGAACAGTAGTTGTAATTGTAGCAGAGGGTGTCGAGTAGGAACACAGGTCCAGACTCCACAGCTCCAGAGCCAGGAACACCTGCAAGAAGTGATAGGAGGAGAGAGGAGAGGTACGAAAAAGCACACGACTATGGGAAAGGAAAGAAGTCCAGTTTGTAACATGAATTAATGCACATGTGTCAAACTCAACTTAACTCTTGTACATCCGACCAGACGTACAATCATATCCTGCCCACAAGATAATTTCGTAGATCTTCTTTTGACGGCCCTGTGATATGAAACCCCAATAACACACACTACAAATCCCAAGATGCAGTCCAATTGCCGCCAACGGCAGGCACGGTTCATGTTCACGGTCTGTTTATGTATACAAAGCTAATATAAAATCAAAGCTAGACCCCAACAATGGCCAAGAAAAAATTTATTCTGAAAACCGAGGCTTTCAAAGCCGGGGGGAGAATGAGTATAGGTTTACTGAAATTGCCGGTAAAGGAGTATAACATAAGATAGCACTACTAAACAAAACATCAGGACAAGTTTAAAAACCTGAGAGCAGGACAGAAGCTAAAAAAGGTAGAGGAGTTGAAGAATAATTTAACATCCCAGCAGACATTTTTCACCAAAGCGAAATCATAAAAAGAAGTTGTTGTGTAATCAAGTTTTATTGTGGCCGAAGAGATCGGCAAATCTGACAGCCGTTTACCGAGCGGGAATTTGTGAAGAATTGTCTGATGAAAGTGTGCGACGTCGTTTGTCCAGATGGTAGCACATATCTGTGCGAGCAGCTGTTCTCTGTGAGGAAAATGAACTAAACGTCACACAGGAGTTGCCTTACTGATGAACACCTGCAATCCATCCTGAGAATCTCCACAACACAGAACCTTACCCCAAACATAAAACTAACTTGTTGCAAAGAAAAGACTCCAGGCTATGACTAAATAGGACAATGAAATGTGATGTTATGATTTGTTATGATTCAACTTTTACTTTGAATTACTTTTTTTATTTATATTTTCAGATTTTTTTATGTATATAGTATTGACAGAATATTTTTTTATGAAGCGCAAAATAAGGTAAGGTACTATGAACTCTTTAAGATAAGATAGTGCCTGACCATGAAGAGCTTTGTATGTGAGAAGAAATATCTTAAATTCTACTCTGGATTTTACAGGAAGCCAATCATCTCTTTTACTGGTTCCTGTAAGAACACGTGCTTCAGCATTCTCGATCAGCTGAAGAGTCTTAATGGACTTTTTCGAAGAGCCTGATTATAAGGAATTGCAGTAATCCAGCCTAAAAGTAACAAATGCATTGACTAGTTCTTCTGCATAATTTTTAAACAGGATTCTTCCTGATTTTTGCAATATTACGTAGGTGAAAAAGGCGGTTCTTGAAATTTGCTTAATGACAGTAAATGACATGTCCTGATCAAAGATAACTCCAGGGGGATGCCATCCAGGGAAACTATATGTCTAGATAATGTGTCACAAATGTGCTTAGGCCCTAGAACAATAACTTCAGTTTTATCTGAGTTTAACATTATAAAATTACAGGTCATCCAGGTTTTAACATCCTGAAGACACATTTGAAGCTTAGCTAACTTATAGGTTTCATCTGGCTTGATCGATAGATATAACTTAGTATTATCTGCATAACAATGAAAGTTTATGGAGTGTTTCCTGATAATATTACTTTAAGGAAGCGTATATAAAGTAAAGAGGATTGGTCCGACCATAGATCCTTGTGGAACTCCATGACTAACTTTGGCATGCATTGAGGACTCATCATTAACATGCACAAACCGGAATCGATCTAATAAATAGGACCTAAACCAGCTTAGAGCGGCTCCTTTAATGCAAATTAAATGTTCCGGTCTCTGTAGTAGGATCTGATGGTCAATGGTATCAATTGCAGCTCTAAGATCTAATAAAACCAATACAGAGACAAGTCCTTTGTCTGATGCAGTTAGGAGGTCATTAGTAATTTTCACCAGTGCTGACTCTGTGCTATGATGAGCTCTAAATCCTGACTGAAAATCCTCAAACAAGCTACACTGTTTTGTAGCTCAGCCTACGTTGTTAGCTTGCCAGGATACTGCCGAGATTAGGCTGTATGTGGAGAGCAACGTGAAGCTTTATATTTGGTGTTTTTAAGTGCCAGTGTCAGAAGAAGAATGTTCATCAGCTATTGGTAGCATTAGCTTGGTTAGCATTAAGCTTTGGCAGTTTCTCCAATCAGCCTAAATATTGTAAGTCAATCCCCCAATGTTTGGAATGTATCACAAATCTTCCACTTGGTAATAAAATGATTTAGCATCCATGAATTGTCGTAAAATCTTTTGCGGGAAGAATTAAAACAGTTAGCTCAATTATCTCTGTAAATAATCTTGTAAAAGCTGGTTACAATGAGTAGTTGTTACATAATTAGTGTTACAATGTTGTAGTGTTGTAACTGTTAATACACTGAGTAATGTCTTTTAATTTCTATTTATTTTCTGCTGTGATTCAGAAAATAATACTGACGAAAATACAGAAGATATTGCTGACCATGTTCCTATCGTACGGCAACGCTATTTGTGACAAAATTACAAAAAATTAGGAGCTTTATATTGCAATATCATTGGAATTAAAGTCAAGCAAAAATAATAAGATAAATACAAAAACAGATTATTTAGTTTTTCTTGAAATTATTTAAGCTTTGTAAAAGTTCCCTTTTCATTTCCGTTTCATTATTAGATTTCTATTTCACAGCAGATTTAGCAGGCAGACAAGCACTCCAACTCTACCTCATTGGGGTGTGAGTTGATGGTGGTGGTGGGGGTTAAGGTAGGAGGGTGACAGTGGGCACATTAAACGGGTGTTCCTTACAAGAGGTTACAGCACGAGACAATTACCTGTTTGCTTCCACCTGTCTGCTTTAACAAGGCTGATAGGACTGTGGTTGCGTTCCCGTATGAGACAGTTGTGATAGGGATCTGAATTAGCTTTCACAGTCACTCAGGAAGCCATCCTGATAGCACATGCCTCCCCAATTCAGCAAGATGGAATTGGGCTGTTTCCTCCTTCTCAAGAGATATTTGTGCAACACAGCTCTAAATTACAGGAATGGAAGAAAACCTGCTGGCTGAGAGTGGTTCAATTTATAGTATACCATGTACTCTGCTGACAATCACCACAGCTCGGAGAAATCGCCAGGGCACCTTTTTATAAATACATTGATATGACTTACGTGACACTATTTATGAGATGAAACGCATTCATGTTTTTCTCTGAATAAACGGTTCTGTATTTTTTTCTTTTTTTTAAATATAAGTCTCTACCAAAGCTGTAGCAGCACAGAGTCTACATTTCCAGCTTCCCTTTTAACCAGAGATTTTTAGTATGCACATCAGCAATAATATAATCTGCCAGAGCTGCTTCACTGACTGTGAATGGGATACTTTGTAGACAGAGGCAGTGCTCAGGGGGATTTTATGGGCCTGATTTCTGGTTCATAGTTGTTAGGATTACAACAAGATGAAACTCATCTCAATGTAAAGGCTAAAGCCATCTATGAAGTCTCTTTTTTCCCTTTTTTGCCTTGTTTTTCCCTTTTTTTCTGTTCTGCATAGCTATGAAGAATGTCGGCTGCACTGCTTTGTTTTTGCTTGTTTTTCTCATTGTTCTTAGCTGGACCGCATCAGTGACAGCTCTGACAGTAGACTGAGTTTATATTGCTAAAATTGAACAGAAATGGATATTCAAAAAAAGCACACTCCTTTTTAGTAAAAATAGAACCACAATGGAATAAAGGTTTTCAGTGATTTGGTGGTGACAGGGAAAACTACAGCGAGTTGTTTTATTTGAAAACCAAAAAGTACTTTTGTGAACTGACAATGCTTCTCATTTGCATTTTCTGTTTTAGGTGTTATGGGTGAATACGAGCCAAAGATTGAAGTTCAGTTTCCAGAAGTTGTACATGTTGCCAAAGGATCCACTGTAAAGCTGGAATGCTTCGCACTGGGAAAGTAAGTCCACTCGTTGTTGGAAAGGTTACTAACAAAGGGTTGTTTGTTTTTTTCCATATCTTTCACTACTTTGGTGCAATTCCCCAGTGTTTCAGGCTAACATTTATTTCAGAGTAATTAAAGCGCAGATGTTGTGGTAAAATAATATTCAGAGATTTTTTTTTTTTTAACAATGTACTGAAGCTCAGAGTTCAGGACTTTTCTTTTCATTTTCCCATTATTCCTTTTTTTGGGTATAGAATTGAATAAGTCCACGAACTAACCAGAGAGGTCATTAACAATACAAATGCCATTTATTCCGGTCACAGTTAAAGTGAGTCAGCGCTTTGTGCTAGGATCGCTAGCACAAAGAGCGCTAATTCTCAAGTGTAGCTCACAAATATCTTCTTGGGCTGGACAATAGGCTGAACTTCACTGAGTCTCATTGGCCAGTAACCTCTCACGGGACAATGCCAGCTTAGTGTTCACATGATAACTGAATGTGTATAGAAAGGAGTGGGTGTTGTAGTGGGGGTGTACCTAATGCAGTATACCTAACTGATAGATTTCCGAAAGGTATCAGTGCCTGGTACCCACAGAGAGAGACAGAGCAAACGCGAGAGAAAGAAAGAAACAACGAACATAGAATAAATCCCAGCACAAATGAAATAACTGAATTATAACAATGTGCAGCTTTCTGCATAGGATATTTTATGCAACCATTGTGAATGTCCTGTCTATTACCTGAGTCCATTTCTAGAAAAAAACATATGATTCGGAGCCTTAACCTCAATAGTCTCATATGCCATGATGTAAAATATGAATCGTCTTAATGAGATGGCCATTGTACCCTCTGGTCTTATCATTTTAAAGAGCCAATTTTATTTTCATTATCCGTTTCTTTTAAAAAAATTTAATTGAAGGTTTACCAGATAAAAATATACAATTATGGATGTTTAAACATATGAAAACATCTTTCCATGCTATATGGCCATTGCACACCTTGTCACATTTGTTTAGTTGGTTTGCCTGTTGAGGTACATACATGCATTTTCTGCATGACGCCCATTTTCTGCATGTGCTTAGGAAACCATCCCTTGTTTTTCTGATGGCTTTCTATATTTTGTCTGCAATAATTTATGTTCTAAAAGCATCAAAAGGAAATCTGGACCAGTGAACCTACTATCAAACATGTTGTTTCCACAAAGTAATACAATGGAAATCTTGCGTTGAGAGATCATGCATGTCAGAAAGCTGGATAAACAAAGCAGATAACAGGCCAATAAACTGCCAGCTTGACTACACTCTGTGAATGCTTTATTAAATTGAATACCGTTCAGTATTTATTTGGATTCAAACAATCCAAACATAGTAGGACATTTCATATGAAATGGTTTTATGCACTTGACTGTTGGTAAGATTAAAATTTACAGTGGCACCAAAGTGTGATAGCATTTCCATTCATCTATCCATATTCTTCTCCTATTTTGGTCGCTGGGAAAGCAGCCTAAGCAGGGAAGCTTAAACTTCCCTCACCCCAGCCACATCTGGCAGCTCGTTCAGGAGATCACGAGGCGCTCCCAGGTCAGCCGAGAGATATAGTCCCTTCAGAGGCATCCTGACAAGATGCCCAAGTCACCTCATCTGCCTCCTCTCGATGTGGTGACAATTTCTAATTGGACAGCTGCTAAAACCTATACGTCATGCTGAAACTAAATGGCTAAAAGTAGTACCATTTGGTTGATCAAACTACACAAAACTTTTCAGTTTTGTAGACGGTGAACCTTCACAGGCCACATTAAGTATCCTTATAATAAATTGGAACCATTAAATTTCAATATATGAGAAAGAAAAAGTGAGCCTTGAAACATTTCACCATCTCCATTCATTGTTTCCATTTACCCTATAATGCCATATGTATCATATTTGATACAGACGGTTTCTGAAATTTCTTCCACCTGAGACCTGCATCATTTAAATGTAGGAACTTAACTCAAAACCCTGTCGCACACAATCAAACATACCTGTAAACAGCGGGCAGATGAATATGGGACAATAATTTTGATTTATTGCACATTACATTATGATTATTAAAAAAAATATCATCTTCACATTTTGTTAATGGGCCAAATAAAGACTTCAAATGAATGAACAAATATTATCAAAATGTTTTTCTTGGATAAGGCTTTAAAGGGTTAAGCTAGGACAAGTTATTCATTTTTTCATTGCAGCTATGATATTCTGTGTGTCATTTTATACAGCCCTGCACCCTCTATAAAGTGGAGGAGAGCAGACGACGTAGCCTTCCCCAGAAAAGTGGATATGAGAAAGGCCAGCGGCATCCTGGAAATCCCATATTTTCAGCAGGAGGATGCCGGCACGTATGAGTGTGTCGCCGAAAACTCCCGAGGAGTGAACACGGTGAAAGGAAAGCTCTCCTTCTATGGTAGGTGATCCTGTCATGCATGAATATTTGACCAACGCGCAGCACATCTGTCAAACCCACTCAGACTGAGAGGCAGAAAAGGCAGACATAACTGCTCCTCCGAAGAGAGCGGCAGAGTCTGTGTGGCATTCATGAGGAGGGAGGCTCGTTTTAACATCACATCAAAATGATTAAAGGCTGTCAGAAATGATGCCTTTAATATTTTGATCCAGATTAAAGGAGTAATGCGGATGAGGCTGAGCCCTTGGATATGACCTTGTTGGTGAGCTTTATGTTGGGTTCCACCAGATGGCATTATGATTGACATCCAACTTGACTGGAGATCAAAGCTGTTAAATTTACCATACACAGAACAGTGGCACATATGTCAGGGACATAATCTGCACTGTGGCATGTGGATCAACGAAAGAGAAGGTTAGGATATTCACTCATTGTTATTAGGCAGTGCCACTACTGACTTTAATTAACGTCAATTTCAAGACAGAGTACTTATTTACAAAATGAACGATAAGAATGCCCATCTAAGACCTATCTCTATTCAATTTTATAATTTAAGCCTCCATAGATAAAGATTTGGCCACTGTGACACTGAAATAGGATCAAATGATTCAGTACAGTCCATAGTGCAAAGTAAATAGATTACAGTGAAAAACATCAAACCTGTATATGTTTAAAGTTTTCCGGGGCATTTTCAGAGCCGATATCATTACTCATCATTTAGGAAACAGCACAGGCCCAATTTATGTTCTATGGGGAAAAGAAGGTATCCATTTTATTTGCCTTTTGACACATCTAGGATGTAACATGAAATGAAAGTACAATTTTTAAAAAGCATAAATCTTCTCCGGAAGCATAGTTTCTTTGCTGTCATTTTGTTGAACTAAATGGTTAAATGGAGGTTGAGGTGGGAATCTTATATATTTTTGTCCACTAGCATTGGTAGGTATGATTCGTGACTGTGTCAACAGTCTTCACCAGTGTCCCAAAACCCTGGTCCTCAAGGCAAACTGCCCAGTATACTTTCCAAGCTTCCTTGCTCCAGCATGTTTGATTCAAATAAATGGGTCAGCTCTTCAGTTATTTTTGCTCTGCATAAGGCTGATGAAGATATCTTCATTTAATTCTTGAGCCCACTAAAAGCATACCTAATGAGGCTTTCTGAAGGTTAATATCTTTTTATGTATTATACTTGATACATGGCATAGACTCACTGAAGATGCTTACTCAAGGTACTGAATCAATACTATGGCTTATTTTTAATAAAATCAGATGTGGTTAAACTTCAAGAATCGTAAAAATATCCAAAGACATTCACAGTCATCCATCCCGATATTATGCTTTCGGCATCATGTAGCTTTTCCACCCACCTGAACAGTGCTTGTTTCCGTCTGATTTTCTCCCCCTTTAGCCATACTGTGTCAACTGTCAGGAAAAACTCCTGGGTGACCTTGGACAGGTTACATGATTTTCACTGTCTGCATGCTTCCAGTATCAGATGCATATTGTGATCCGCAAAGGCCTTATATGTTCTTCTGAGCTGACTCGCCTCTCATTGTTGTCTTTGTCAATCTCCCACATCTCCCCTGCAGCCAGGTAATAAAAATCAGCAGTATTTTTTTTTAACTCCCTTTGAATTAAGCAGTTGAAATGTTCGTCAGCACTGTAAGGCCGCAGGTAAGCATCATCGATCAGAGTACATCTACTACACTTCCCACTACAGTGTGAAGAAGAGCAATGCTTCCTGTCAGACCAGAAGGCTCTGTGTGTGTTTGTGGGGCGGGGGTTAAGTTAAGATTTTTTTAATTGAGGTCAAAACTTAATTTGTGTTTTGTTTTTTTTTAACCAAAAAAACTCAGTGAATTTACTTAGCCTTGTGATGTTTGGCCCGATTGTAAGCACGCCCGGCCGGGTGCAGGCTGAGATGAACTGCCTGCTCTCATTTCGTCAGTTTCATCTGAGAGTCAATACTTTTGCAGTTCGTGAGGGATGGAGTTAGGCCCTCTGGCAGTGAGAAGAGAAAAAGCTGCTTTAAGGGGGGCTGCTCAGGCCTGCTGCTTCTGATGGAACATTGCTGCATTCTGAACAGATGCTGTCTTAAATGACTGATGATTAGGACATCTATGAAGAAACTACTCTCCCAACAGGGTTTCTTTTTCAGTAGTTAGCTAAGCGACATTGATGTAAAACTGCTCACCTACATACATATTGTGAATTTTAGTCTTTCTTGGTCTAGAAAAGAAACTTAAGGTCAAAGGAAAGCCTAAGCAGATGTTCTAGTCATTGTTTTAAAACCACCATCTCTTCTCTGAAGCAAGTTAAAAAGGGGTTCATCCTTGAGCCTCTTTTCATTCAAAATGGTGATTCATTCATCGTTTGCACTGAAGGATGCAGCACAGTCTCCACGCAAGTTAAATGTTAACAACCTCAACCTTATACAACGGCCTCTTCTCCCGGAGGGATCCCGAAGACCTGTAGTGCAGCACCCTATGCACACACAAGAATAATTCTTTGATAGCGAGTGTTGATGCATCAGAAGACTACAGACATCAGACCCCCCGCCGATCGCTTTGCTCGCCCGTATTCCTATGGACACACACAAACACACACATTTAAAGCCACACTCAGTAAAGCCTCTGTGCTGCACAGAAAGATGCACATTTCAAGCAAGTTGGATTTGTTGCTGCACCGGAGGAATTCAAAGAAGACACTGTTCAAAGTGGGCTCTAATTGGAGTAGGGTGTTGGTGAAAAAGCTTTACAAAGGTCAGGCCTTGAGAGTGGCATTAGGTGAGGTCTGTGGAATGGATAAGCCATTCCTCTTGTCCTGCTGCTGGCCTTGTGTGATATAGGATGATAGTGGCTTGACCTATGCGTCAAGAAAAATGTGGTGTTACACTTTGAGAGCTCCGGTTTTATGTACCCCTTTTTTTCTCTTTCTTTTTTTTTTTGGCTAAATCGTTAACTAGCCTTGAGTTACTCGCATTAAACAGCCAGAATCAATTCTCCTCCTGTATAATTATACCATCATTTACAGAGACTGTATTGAATGGAGTTTTTTATGGCACTAGTCGCCACCCTAATGCATATGGAGCCAAGATTCATCGCTTTTTTTGTCACATATGGGCACACAGGGAAAGTGAAAGAAGCCAAAGGAAAACATAACTGATAAGTCATCACAAATGTTCAATAAATGGGATGCGAGAGCTCAGAACGAAAACCAAAGGGTGATCCATTTATTTTAAAAAATCATATACAATTCAGACTTATGCACTACATTACCAAGATCTCGAGTTGACATTCTGAATTTTAGGGAATTTGTTACTTTCTTCTTTGTATAGGATCATCGTAGGGTAGGATTAAAATGTTTGGAAACACTTACGTGTTCATTTTGGATGTAAATTGATTCATACATTGTGTTTTTATCAATTAAGTTGTGCACATGGAAAAACGCACCATACAGATAAGTTATTCATGCACAAGATAAGCTGTATAGTTATAGTATAGTCACAGTATAGTTAGATAATATGTAGTAGTTACGCTGAATTGCAAAAAATGTCGGACATGGCTGTTTTACTTTTACTTAACTAACATGAAACAATCACAATCGATTATGTAATTTTTACTAAACTTATGACTCTTATTTTATGGATAGTTTATTCACTTGATATCACTGTCGTGGGATAAGTGAGGACAGGACCCAGAGGCAAACGCAGGACTTTTGGAGGGAGAGTGGAGGTACAAGGGAGCCGGGAAGACTATACAGGGTCCAGGTTGATGTGCCACAAGGGGGGCAGTGGGGCGTGGGCTGACCTTGGGGAGCAGGGCTTGATGGCGGGACCCTAGATCGAAAATTAGTGCTGAATAGACAGGAAAACCAAACAAGTAGCAAGTCTGGCATCGATTCATATATCCAAAAGGCAATCGTGTGTTGGAAACCTGGAGAGTGCAGGCATATAAAGGGTGCCTGATTGCCAATAGGCTGCAAGTGTGATACTGTGCAGGCTTCCACACTGAGCCCGCCCAGCCTGAAACAAACAACATCAAGCACCCAGCAACCATAGAGTATGACAACCACCACAATTCAGGTTATATCTTATATTGATTTTTAAAGAAATTACATAATAACAAAATTAACTAGCAAAACAAGATTAGAATATTTTTCTAATCCCTGTTTTTAAGCACAAAAATGAACCTCAGTGATGCCCATCATCTGTGTAGTGTAATTTATCGGTCAAGAATCCCATTAATTCTGACCTCCAATGTTTCCAGCCCCTCCTCATCTGATCGAGAAGCCCCAAGATGTCCAGAGGCTCATTGATGACACTCTGACATGGGAGTGTAAGGCCACGGGGAAGCCAAAGCCTTCTTACAGATGGATGAAAAATGGGGAGAACCTGGAGCCTGCAGAGGTGAGATCTGCCAAATGTCTTTGCAGCTGAAGATAAAGTTCCTCCTTCTCCAATGCTAGGCTTCCAACTGTGGCTTTGTCAACAGTGTCTCTTTCAAACTCATCTCTGCTGAATGAGGAGCAGACAGACCTGTATACCACAGGTCTGTCTGCTCCTCATTTCCAAAGCTTTAGTGCGCTGCTTTATCAACCATCACCTACTAATTCTGAGTCATTAGTGCCTTCCTCATCTGTGCAGTGCAAGATGTTCGTTTCCACAAAACAGCACCAATTTCAAAGGAATTAGACTGTGTTAACTGTGCTTGTCTGTGCTAAGAGACTAGACTGTAAACAAGCCATGTGCTTAATGGTTGTCTGCAAGCATGGCGTTGTAGATGAAGAGCGATGCTCATCTTTTGTTAAATTCATCCTCTTCGAGTGATTATTTATCCTTTGCCACCACAGGCAAAAAAGTAACAATCTCTGTTGAGCACTGTTAAAAAATGAATATTAATGAAAAAGCTTTATCTGACCATCCTTGCTCTCTGTGGATTTCCATGAGGAAAGCTCTGTCTCATGTTGGCATTTGGAAACCTTTCTTTTCCATCATTTATTAGATTACTATATTCAGCATTTTAACCTGGTTGGTTGGGGAAGACTGATTTGACGCTTGGGCCCAGCCTGCCCTGATGAATTAAGTGACAATATGCTATTTTCGCTTCATTATCCAAAGAAGGCGACAGACACACTGGGAGATATCCATCAGCACTTGAATATTCTACACGTGGTTTGAAAAAAAAAATTTCTTCCACCAGATTGCCTGAAGGGATGTTCCACGAGAATGGCCTCTCTCACATCACAAGAGATTTGGTTTGACTTCAGAAAAGCATAATCAGTAATCTGTTTTGCCAATAGGAAACCATTATTAATCAAAATGTCGTTTTTGTTTTTTGGAGGACGAATAGAAACAATAATTTGCTTCATTTTTGTTCTTTGCCCTTGTTCCTCTCGTTTCTTTGTGGGCTGGGTAAACATGAATGGAAACACTTCGAGAAAATACCCAGTGCTGCTAACACACGCAGCCATCTTGGCCTGAAGCAGTGAGCAGAGTGTGATTAAAGGTCACACCGACTACACTGATTTTTGTACAGCAGATTCCCCCTTAATATAGACATAATGAATTAATATATTCAGAATGCATGGGCGAATGGATTAATCAGTGAAGGTGTTTCATTGTTTGAAATGCCACCATTAACCACAGTAGCTTAATGAGTGGAAGAGGGAAAGGTCAGCCATGTAAGGAGCAGTGGGGAGAAGATGCACCATTTGTTGTTATATATTACTGTGAATCAGTCATGGCCTTTCTCGGAGTTTGGTTCGCGAGACGTTATTTCAGATTATAGTTTTCCAGCTATTGACAACAGAAACAGAGCAATCATCCTTTAAACAGTAGAAATTGAAAATGTTTTGGGGTGTTCAGAAGTTCGTTTTGGCGCTTCGTTGGTGTTTTTTTCCTTTGCACCCTCACAATATTCACAAATCGTTAAAAACTCAATTTTCTTCAGTATTTTTTCACCTCTCATTCTTTCATTTTCTAGTACTTTCATTATTTTTTACTGTAACGCTCCCATTGAGCGACTACTGTACACTACCGCGTGTCCACACAAAACAATTGTAACAGCTTTGCCATTTCCCGTGAAATTCTGGGTCACCGTTAGCATCTAATGGTTCTATTTATTTAAAGGGGAATTTTTTTAGCTCTCTCTGGGATTAAAAAACATTTCCATGCTGCGATAGCAGGGGTTTGAACTTGGACCAGAGCACTCTGTGACAGAGATTGGAATTTTTTGTTCCCCAGTACTATTTAACAAGCACCCCCTTTATCTGATGCAAAGGTCAATTGAGACCAGGACCAGGGGATTTTCACTTATCTTGGATCTTTCTCTTAACTTAATGTTTGATTCCAGCAAGGTGGTTAAAGCTAGCTCAGAACAAGAACCACAGTTTCTGATTGTACTTCTTACCTGTGACGGGCCTGCCATTTCAATCAAATCATCGTTACCTATTCCAAAACACTCTAAAGTTATTAGAATTATTCTTAAGATTCTATTTTTATCTCTTGTGAAATTAGCTAAAGTATTTAAAAAATCTTTCTTTGTGGTTTTCCTCCTCATGTGAAGGGCCTCACTCTCTGAAGCACCATTGACAAAGGCTTTGCAGTTAAAAAGAAACTGCATTGTGAAACAGGATGAAGTACAGTTAGAAGGCTATGGTGCCACTTGACAGGTTTCGTACTGTAGATCTCTTAAACTGCACTTACTTCTTTGAAAAGTCTATGAATCAACAAAGTGAGCCATTTGAAGGGACGTTTACTACATCCTGCTTTTGAATAAGGAGACGGTTAACTGCTCTCCCTGTTTTTTCAGTTTCAAGTGGAGCAAGGAGGCTCAGCTCAAAGTTTTTGTTCAGTCACTTTAAAGCCACTTTACAACTTAGTCCATATCAAGTGCAGCACCTTGGTAAGGCATATATTGCATATATTACTCAAAAATCTGTGAAAAGAATGAGCAGATTTATCTTGCAGTTCTGCTCTGGCAAGCGCTATTAATTTCCCATGTTAAGCCTGTGATGACAATTCCTTTTGTTAATTTTTTAAGAGCAAATGTGCGAGATTACAATAATTCATACTTTATCTTATCATTTCTGCTTCTTTTACATCTCCGTATTTGAGGAGTCGAAAGAAAGATTCCATTTCTTAATAAAGCCTCCCTTAAGTACCAAAAATCTTATCTCATTAAACAGAATTTAAAAAACACATCCTACATCTGTTCAGCAAAGGCTGTTTGTTCCAACTGCTATGGAGAGAACAGAGCTGTAGCTGGCGATAAGACCCAACATCCTCACTTCTTTAAATTCCAGAAAACATTCCTTTCTCTTATGTACTGATCAAATGAATCAACTCAGCCTTGCTGGCAAAGGACATTGCCAATCATTTTAACTCTGCAGAAGGCATGCAGATGACTCCCCCCTGAGGTCCCAGCATGAAAAACTGCTGATTCGAGAGGAACGTCATGGTTAATTAATAGCAGCTGTAAATGGGAGTGCCTCCCCAGCACAGACTGATATACGCCACCATTTGCTTCTGTGCCATAAGGAATATTCGCCCCTTCACATCCAGAGCTGCAGAGTGTTATGGAAATTCCTGCACAGCCTGCTCAGATACAGGATTAGCACCTTAATCCCCAGCAACTTGCGTGTGAACCGCGGGAAAACACGCGACATGAAGGGCACATTTAGCAAAACCTTGAATGGCTGCATAGACAAGTATGACAACCACTGGAGCATTTCAAACACTAAAGAAAAAGAGCAGTGCAAGAACCTAGGATAAGAGAGATAAATGTATATTGGAGATTAATGTCCAGCTGATGCAATGATCCAACTCAGTTTTTAGTCCATCAAGCCCAGCAGTGCTTAAATAGATTTTAATTTGATGGTTTAGTGACGGGCATGATTTCCCCTGCAGGGGCTTAGAAACAGTAGTTCAAACAGATGAAGGGAGGCACAGCATATACATAGAACTTGGTATGTTGAAGGCATACATACAGTATCTGAGAAGCAATTTTCAGATGTTATGATATTCCTTCCTCTTAAATCCCCTCCTCTGACTGAAGGAGAAACAGGCCCTTTGGTGCAGATATAAATAGGGCATGGTTTTATTTCACTCTCATAAACATGTAGATTGATTAGGGTCATTTTCTGCTAGCCTGCCTCCATCCACCCAAGCCTTTCCCTCCATTAGTGATGAAAACCTAGATTTATTGCCACGTCTGTCACTTCGAGACCATAATTCACAGGCCCGCTGCTTGGCTGTTTTTTATGTAGATGAGTGTTGAGAGGGGGCAGGAATGGCATAATAAAGGCATGTGTCTGTGTTTTTAGGAACGTGTTCAAGTTACCAATGGGGTGTTGTCAATAAGTCGTCTGACCCTGTCGGACACAGGAATGTACCAGTGTGTGGCCGGGAATAAGCACGGCGAGGTCTACTCCAATGCAGAGCTCAGAGTCATTGGTAAGTGTGTGTGTACATGTCTGTTTGTACATGATCAACAATGCATGTGTTTTCTTGTTTACTACATCCTCTTCCCACTGTTTGGCGCTGTAAGATGACCTCCGACCTCTGTCTTATGGACCACTAACTGAAAGTCATTAATTATAAGATGAGTGTGTCTGGCTGACAGTGATGAATGCAAGAGCCTGGCTGTTCAGCAGACTTGCCCATCTGCTTTGTCAAGTCTGTCACTCCACCCCAGGCTAGCAGTAGCTCTCATTCACTGCTCAAACTTCTAACATATCTCACCCTGATTGTGGCACTGATATCAGGCTCAATGTAGCCGAGCACTCTGGTCAAACTCAAGGGGGATATTTGAGAAGAGAATGTCAGGGAGATAGCACACAGCTACATCACCACTACAAAGGGTACATCCTTTTTATAGTCGTGGAGAGTTACAATAAGGGGATGATCACAAGGTGAAAGACTCACATGCTCCCTGTCACAAAATAATAATACAATTACAGTATGTTGAATTCACATTTAACATCAGTTTTAGGCTTCACATTGCAGAATTTTGAGAACTAATTGAGCAATATTGCGTCTTTGCAATATCCGTTTGGAACATATCCCATGCCAGTGAGCTCATATTGCAAAATTGTGGGTAACATGATGTGAGAGGTTTTTGATGTGAGATAATTGGTTGGAGATAGATTGAACAAAAAGAGGATGTGAGGCTTTTACAAACGCTGGCTTTGATATGTTGCTCCTCTCTCAGCTGTTGCCCCAGATTTTTCCCACAATCAACTGAAGAGCCAGACACTGGTGAAGGTAGGAGGAGATGTGCTGATCGAGTGCAAGCCCAAGATGTCTCCTTGGGGTGTGATCTCTTGGCGGAAGGGCAGCGAACCCCTCGATGATAATAACAGGTAACACCACTTGCACAGTTTGTTCTGTTTGGCTCGCAGCCATTACTGCTGGGTGTTTCTTTTTATTCACCACACATGCTTGCATTGTTTTATCCATATAAAAGGCCAGATTCATGTGTACAAATTTAGATGCATCCTAGGCAGACTGTATTAGCCTTTAGCCATCCCTTCATACATTATATATAAACAAAACAAAGTTTCTACAGTTCCTAACCACCCTGAAAATTAATATTTGTTGGGAGCATCTTTATTCTCCAACCACCCTCTCAGCTTTCTGTCATCTCTTTAAGTAGTCTTCCAAAATAATTATTCAGACTTCTTGTAGGACATCCCATAGCTCCTCTTTGGATGCTGGCTGCATTTTGTTCCATTCTCTGCCAGACAATCCCACGGTACTTCAGTTATGTTGGGGTTTGGGCTCTCGGGAGGATCCATCCCTTCATCAGCTCGTTTTACCTGAGTCCACTTCTTGTGTCATTTGGCATTTCTCCCTGTTTCCTAATGGATTCTGACCACCACCCATGCACAAAGAATTTATCAGATGAGACTTCAGGTGTCGATCTACTGAAGGTCCAGATGCATTTCTCAAGTCCTGTTTCAGTGCCTCATCACATTCTTTTTTTAGTTCTTTCAGATAATGTTCATCTACTATAGTTGCATTTTATGCCTTTAGACATCACTTAATGATTGATGGATGGAAGGGGGCACCAATAGTACTGTTCTCTATGTAGAAATGTTAATTTAAAGGCTGAGGTGATGATCTATTGGTCTATCTTAGTTCGAAGACTCATGTTCATGAGCTGTGACTGCAACAACGTGGTCAAAAATTAGCTTTACTGGGTGAGGACATCAGTTTCCAGATAAGTTAAATCTTTGGAAACAATCATGGCTTTAAATAAAGACATCTTAGATTGGAAACTTCTTGTCACTCTGCTGTCAGACGTTATCCCCTATTGTGACCTAAGGGGTTGAGCACTCTCAAAATCAAACTTGTGGCAGTGAACAGAAGTTTCCTGTTTTTGTCTTTGCCTTCACCCAAATAGTTGTTTATAATGAGGGGACGGATGTAGATTTCGCACATTTAGACACTGAGATTTTCAACCAGTGTTACTGTGTCTGGCCCTAACCATAAAATAGGGTATGGGGCCCAATCATCACAGAAGTTACTTTGAAGTACAATTTCTGATCTGTATCAAACAGAACTCAGCTAAGATGTTTAGGCCATCTGAACAGAATATCCTCCAAACACCTCCCTTGGGTGTCTTGAACATGACTCACCAGTCCCAGGCCTCAATAGAGACAAAGAATGAACTTTAGAAAATCCTTCCTCTTCAATGGCTTGACCTTCCAATAGCAGGGGAAAAGTCTAGCTCAAAGGAAGTCAAATGTAAAGAAATGATGGGTTAACTCAAGCCTTTAACACATAACTGTAAATCACCACAGGGTTGTGACAGGTACTGTGTACATATACTAAGCCTTGTCCAATCATTTTATACATGATGGTCATTTGTCAAGAGCTCTGACGTTTCCATAGTTGATGGAGGTGGCGTAGCTTGGCAACATCAAGAAGGCCTCAGCATAAGCCAGAATATCTTAAATCTTCAAAACATTGAACCTTTTAAATTAAGATAGGTTTTAGTATTCAATTCTTGTCTTAAGTGCCAGCAAACTGCACTCTATGAAGTGTGGGATTGAGGATCTTGTTCCATTTTGTTTTCATTTTAATGTGAGGGAGAGTCAGGTGTGTAACTTTCAACTGATAAACAGTTGGTATATTGTAATCAGTGAACTATGATGTTCACATCAACAATATGATTAAATCAATATAACTGTATGGATGGTACCTTGTATTTATTTTACTTTGTCTAATGTTTTGCCGTCTAATAGAACGGACAAAGAATTCTGAATTTGTGTCACAAAAGGTTTCTCATTACCACCAATCCTTACACACAGAAATAAGGTTCCACATCAGTCAACTTGGGCCCTCATGGGTATCTGAGGTATCTTTTTTTACGTGTGCTTTTGCGGAAGCAAAGAATTTTGAGATTCTGTCCTGAGATTATTAATCATCAAGCCTTGAAAGAAACAGGGAAAAAAAACAGCAGGAGACCTAAATGAGTAATGGTTAATGGGGTCCACAGTCTTTTACTTCTCGCGGACCAGCTGCTGAGTGGATTGAAACGGTCTACTCAAGCAGTTTTCACCTCGGCAGGATAATAAAGGCACCAAAAATAAAGTTTCTCGGCTTCTGACATCTTTGAAAGTTTCCTACAGGGAAAGACGCCGATCTTAACCTCATTTGACCTTAGAGATGTGACGTGTGCTACATGTGATAAATTCTGGCTGCCCGCATGTGTCTTTCTGAATGAGGTGTAAAGTCTGGCCCTGAAGGCTCAGTGGAGACAGAGGTCACCCATTGGGTGTCACCGCTCTTGCATGACTCTGGTCTGACAGGAGGGCTGTGTGCTCAGTGTCTTGCCAGGCTTTGCATATAGACAAAGCAATGTTGTTGCTTGTCAAACAAAGTGGTGGGGGAATTTGCATAGTGGTCTCGCTGTTGGTGCCCTTCACTCGCCCAGTGACGCTTCGATCACGCACCTGAAACCTCACAACACTCGGGACAATTTGACTCCTGTGATTTGAGTTTATCGTCAAGACTGAGTTCACACGTGTCCCTGCTGTGACAAGAGCTGACTTCCTCGGAAAGTGATTAATGAATACACATTGTTTGTTCCCAACTCAAAAGGCTTAGCTGTGCTTGAAATTTTTAGTACTTTTGCCCTTTTGTGTTCCCATATATTCCGGAACAATAAATCACAGACTGACCACCTACCTCAATAGATAATGAATTATTTAAAGAAATTAAAGGTAATTGATGATTTTGCATATAATTATTAATTTGGGGAGTTTTTTTATGAGCAGGGTTAAGGGATTTACTGCAGCTTGCAGAAAACATGACAGTAACAGGTCATTTATAGATGGATTTCTTTAAAAACTGCCTATCTATCTATCTATCTATCTATCTATCTATCTATCTATCTATCTA